TGGTGATTCCCAGATAGAGTAGGAGGTGCGCCTGTGTCCTCAGTTTTGAGGTTGCTGTTTTACGACAGAGGTAGACCCATGACAATAAGAATCTCTAGGTATTACCATTTAACAAAATTTATCTCAGAATTCTATACAACTGAAAACCTGGAACGTTAATGTGACATTTAAAAACTCATGCACTGTAAACAAATGTTAATTAAGAACTCCCCAACAATGCAGGCGGCTGCACTTACAAGGTTCGCTCAAGGAATGTCATATGTTCTACTTAGGCCAGACGGGTAAAGATCTTATAACTAGATTTAAACAGCATAAATATAGTGTTAGGACGAGCCAGGCATCCAATGCTCTGTTCATTCATATGAGAGATAATAAGCATTGCATTGACTGGGATAATGCCTCCTCAATATTACCTTGTAATTCAATTGTCAGTAGGAACATTATAAATCTAGTCTCATTAAACATACCGAATATATCAACATGAGTTTGAGTAATGGTATGTACAAACTGGATAATTTTGTGATTAAGAAGATTGTAACTAGGTGAGAAGGTTGGGTCATCTTACCTATAAGCCTGACTAGGTCAGCTGCTGTGCTTAAGATGGCATGGTCAGTTTTTTTATTAAGAAGATTAGTAAGGGTCACTGCTTTATGACCGGAACACATGTGGACATCTGCTGTCCCATAGGGACTTGATCTCCTCTCCTCTACTGTATATATTAGCCTTGTCAAGTATTACTCCCTTAGTCTGTACTCACCCTGAAAGATGTGAATTACAAAAGCCTTTGAAACTTCGTGGTTTTTTTTATGTTTCTTATGGTTATCAGTATATATATATATATATATATATATATATATATATATATATATATATATATATATATATATATATATATATATATATATATATATATATATATATATATATATATATATATATATATATTTTTTTTTTTTTTTTTTTTTTTTTTTTTTTTTTTTTTTTTTTTTTTTTTTTTTTTTTTTTTTTTTTTTTTTTTTTTTTTTTTTTTTTTTTTTTTTTATTTAC